TCTATCAAAGAACAGAACTTCTTCCGCTACCTGTGACGCCGCTGAGACTAAACACAGCCTCAAACGAGAAGAGTGTTTGTATCCAATAGAATAGATGAAGAATACTGCATATACTGCCATTCATTTACTCATTGTGACCAGTTAAGAGAACAATTGAACAAACAAAGATTTCCACGGGTATCTTTTGGATTACTAAGTTCACGCTTTTCTCTTGGAAAATTGTTCTTTGTTTCCGATATATTATTTCCTATGAAATTGTTGAGAATAAAACTTAAATCTCAAATTTGGTAAGGAAAGATCCACGTCTGCATTTTTAGATTGTCTTTGAAGACACAGGACAGAATGGTTTTCAGATAGTTTTACTTATCCTTGAGCGTCCACATCATAGACTACAGAGTCACTGGAGACAGCCAAAACAACATTGACTATAGAGTACTAGATGCCTCTCAGACAACACCACTGACCACTGAGTCACTAGAGGTCTTTCAGACAACACCACTGACCACTGAGTCACTAGAGGTCTTTCAGACAATACCATTGACTATAGAGTCACTAGAGGTCTCTCAGACAACACCATTGACTACAGAGTCACTAGAGGTCTCTCAGACAACACCATTGACCACAGAGTCACTAGAGGTCTCTCAGACAACACCACTGACCACTGAGTCACTAGAGGTCTCTCAGACAACACCATTGACCACTGAGTCACTAGAGGTCTCTCAGACAACACCACTGACCACTGAGTCACTAGAGGTCTCTCAGACAACACCACTGACCACTGAGTCACTAGAGGTCTCTCAGACAACACCACTGACCACTGAGTCACTAGAGGTCTTTCAGACAACACCACTGACCACTGAGTCACTAGAGGTCTTTCAGACAACACCACTGACCACTGAGTCACTAGAGGTCTCTCAGACAACACCACTGACCACTGAGTCACTAGAGGTCTCTCAGACAACACCATTGACCACTGAGTCACTAGAGGTCTCTCAGACAACACCACTGACCACTGAGTCACTAGAGGTCTTTCAGACAACACCACTGACCACTGAGTCACTAGAGGTCTTTCAGACAATACCATTGACTATAGAGTCACTAGAGGTCTCTCAGACAACACCATTGACTACAGAGTCACTAGAGGTCTCTCAGACAACACCATTGACCACAGAGTCACTAGAGGTCTCTCAGACAACACCATTGACCACTGAGTCACTAGAGGTCTTTCAGACAACACCACTGACCACTGAGTCACTAGAGGTCTTTCAGACAACACCACTGACCACTGAGTCACTAGAGGTCTTTCAGACAACACCACTGACCACTGAGTCACTAGAGGTCTTTCAGACAACACCACTGACCACTGAGTCACTAGAGGTCTTTCAGACAATACCATTGACTATAGAGTCACTAGAGGTCTCTCAGACAACACCATTGACTACAGAGTCACTAGAGGTCTCTCAGACAACACCATTGACCACAGAGTCACTAGAGGTCTCTCAGACAACACCATTGACTACAGAGTCGCTGGAGGTCTCTCAGACAACACCATTGACTATAGAGTCACTAGAGGTCTCTTAGACAACACCATTGACCACAGAGTCACTAGCGGTCTCTCAGACAACACCATTGACTATAGAGTCACTAGAGGTCTCACAGACAACACCATTGACTATAGAGTCACTAGAGGTCTCACAGACAACACCATTGACTATAGAGTCACTAGAGGTCTCTTAGACAACACCATTGACCACAGAGTCACTAGAGGTCTCTCAGACAACACCATTGACTATAGAGTCACTAGAGGTCTCACAGACAACACCATTGACTACAGAGTCACTAGAGGTCTCGCCAGTGACACGGAGAAGGAGTGTTCCTGTAACGAGCCTCTCCTGGGGATTTCATTAACACGAGGCCAAATTACAGGTTGACGCGGCGGTGGCACTTGGGTCGGTGAACCTCTGCTGCAACACTCTACCATTCTCCATACCACTAACTCAACTTACCACTATTCTACATACATCATTCTAAATACCAGTCCACATAAATATCTCATCTGCTCTACATATCCCTATACCACTCCAATCTTTACGCAAACATTTTAGATAACTGTAATTTTTACTTTACACTTTATTACAGTAGCATTCACTCAATATAAACTCGCTCTACATTCAAATCATAGCATAGTACAGTACTATCCATAAAACGAAACAAAAATAAATCCACCCCCCGTCATACATACCACTTTTCTATACACCACCCAACATACCACTATTCCACTCTATACCTATACCATTTAGAAAGTGAACCACTCTAGTCTAGTCCCCACTCAAATTACCACTCTGCAAACATCCATACATTGTTAGAGAACCAAAGAATAAAACAAATTTGACATTCTATTGCGTATTCATGACTATTCGCAGACAAGAACATTGTAAAATTTCACGATTTTGATTTGTCCGCAAACTTAAATACAGAAACGTTTCCGGTTTTAGCTTCGACTTTCTAAGATGCATATCTACTCCACATACTCTCTCATACATACACCGCTCAAAGGGATGGACACGGGGTCAGATGTGCTCGACCGCAATTAGAAAATGTTCAATCAGTAGCCGGGGTCGCTGCAGTTTACCGGTCGATTGGTTTTGGCCGTGCCATACCGCACGACCGCACGATTGGTTCTCGGTTCTCATCGACTATTACCGCAGTAATCACTGTACCGCGTTGCCGCATCATCTGCATTCCGCCGGGATTGGAGGCTCCATTCACAACCGCAGTCGTCAATGGGGTACCTCCATTCATAATAGGAATAGTGATTAGTTGGGGACCTATGTGAATAGTCCTGTTAAGTCAGTGGTACGATTGTTACATATTATTTTAATTGTGATTCTCCAGCCAACACATTTAAACATAGCTTGCAATGTAAAGCAAAGCTGATTAAATGGTAGTAAAGGTGTAATGCAAACCTGTAAGGGTTGATCATCACTTTTAATTATTGAAATTGTTTCAGTGGGAAAGTTCTCTAATTTAAAATAATCTTTTTCCACCTGAGAGACCTATAACTTATATTCTAAATCAGTGAGCCTACAGCATATGGTATCTTCCAAAAATTGAGTCATGCTATTAGCAGATTGAAAAGTCCTATTGATGTTTGGCAGAATATGAAATTACGCCTCCAGAAGTGAAACCTTAACTACTAGACAAGCTGAGCCCAAACGTGTTATACAGATTTATTAAGAACCACCTTTTCTTTAGTTAACCTGAAATAGAAGATTCTATTGTAGAACGAGTTGCTCACTTTGTTACATACCTAAGCTGGCAGTATAAAAAGCACAGCCAAGATTGAAGTTGAAGTGAATTTTCTGCACCCTAACATAACTCACAATCAAAGCAAAAACTCACAATTATTCAAGAATCTCTTCGGTAACAAAAGAGATGCAGCATCACCAAACATCTCGTTGACATCCACAAAGTCACCGCTGCCGCAGCAAGCTCTGAGTTTATCAGCAGAATCCGCATGTGCAGATCGCTCGGCGGATACGCGGCGGCTTGTCATAAGACCCGACCCACTTTTGACATCTCAACTTGATCTAGTTTACGTCTGGTATGGACGGTAAACTGTCGCCAACCTAACTAGCGAGACACGAGGCGACACAATCTACCATCTCTAGCTCAGAACAACATGTGTTCAGTGTTCAGATATGAGGCGAACCTATCTGGGAATATCTGCAATAGTGCGTACAATGTAACGTGAAGTTGTGTTGACCGAGTCATTGTTTATGTTTTCATGTATATCAAACTTATCTTAAATCCTACATATGTACTATGAGTCAAATAATTCTTGATTGTGGTTTAATTAAACACTCCAAAAAATCGCCAAGTTCAAAATGACGAAACTCTTCCTAGAAAGAGCTAGGTATTGACAGATCCCAATACCTTAATCAATTTAACTATTAACTCATTTTTTATTCCGATTATTCAGTGATTTAATTATAGCTACTATGTCATGATTCCTCCTATGAGTTCAAATAATTAACACTGTTTCGGTGGAAACATACACAGTTTGTATGAGAAAAAGTATCAAATCGCCTTTTTTGAGCCCATCCATCCCTTAACTCTTTCTCTTCAAGTGACTTTCCGAATGAAAATTCTTCCAAAGGAACGTATTACCTCTTTAACAAGTCTCTAATGGTGATTAATTAATAATCGTTATTAAGGTTGACTTACTATTGAGGTTTGCGATAACATGATGTTACTGGTGAAATCAAGGGTATTTGGAAATGACTTGTTATAAAGAGTTACTCGTCTTTTAATCGAGGTTCCACTTCTCAACGTCCTGAACGAGCAATTCCTCGCGAATAACTGTGACTAATACCAATAATATTGGTATTCATCCACGACACATGCGGCCTCAGCACATGTGTTTGTTGAACAGACGCCATTCAGCTGATATGCCTGGACGATGGTATCGGATGATGTCACCTATATCGCAACACGCCTGCTGGACATACAGCGGGTCGTGACATCATAATACAACGTCGTGACATCCTGACGATTAATTGCCGCCTTGGAAATAATACCGCCATTACCGCTCATGAGGTTTATGTGAGAGATAATGGGATGAAAGTGTCTCGGAGACCTACTAGCTGCGAGCGAGTGGTTCTGAATGAGTTGTAATGGGTAAATGGTGAGATTGCGAAACACTTTCGAATCGATAAGACTACCCATGTTACATTTAGTGGATGCTGGATATCATTGAGGAATAAGGGGTGACACAAAAGTTAAAAAATACTTATAAACTCAATTACTAACAAAAAATCTGTCCTTAAACATATAACCGAGGTGTGTTGCTAGCCTAGTTTTATCGTTTCGGAATTTGGTGCGGGATGTACTGAATCCTTCCGAGACTATACCAAATCATCGCATTTATTTAAGTCACTTTCCCTCAAACACATTTATTGTATTTTCTTTCAAAACGCCACTGGCATAAACACCATCTTTTAAAACACAGGCATACTCGCGATCCGGCTCGAAGGACCAAAAGTTGACAGAACCGCGGGTTGGCGGGAAGGGAAGTTATTAGGCGTGTGAACTTGATTAGCATTATGCAGATGAAAGGAAGTGGCCGTGTCAATTGGTCGCCGAGGTTCGGTTCCCAGCGCAGCTCCTGTAATCGCTTCCTCGGTGGTGGAATGTCGGAACAACGACTGGAAAGTTATGATTAGGCTAATCGAGGGCAGGACCCCCGCAACGTAATGGTCAGTTGGCGATCTTGGCTGCGACTTGCGCCGATATCGACGTTCTGCGGAACAGGTTTGTGACGACTTGCGGTTGTGTGTTTCAACTACACAGCGTCAACATATGGAGTAGTAGAGATGCAATTCCGATCGTAAATTTGTATTCAGTTTGGTGAGTGCGTTGGTGTCAATTACTGATTTACGTCGAATAAGTAAATTTTTAACTTAACCAAATTGGAGTTGAATATGTATTGTAAAGTGTAGCATCTTGTATATCGCATAAAGATGTCATTCCAATAACATAAGGGAGATAATGAATTTAGACAGCATCAAACTGTTATAGTGATTTAACTTCAATGACTTAACAATGACTTACTCTTCAGTTGGTTCTTACAGATTGGTAGGCTACTTGAGTATCTAAAGTTTAACAGACGTAAATGTCAACTAGTGGCATGAGCTATCTATAAGCTGAACTAGCAAAGAATTGACAAATCGAAAACCTCTAGATTTTTATTTTATTGGACGTTTGTCTAAGACCAACTTTACGGCAGAATCGGCTCGAAAAAATGTTAGCCTAACTAAACAAACCATATCCTACGAATTTATATTTTTTAGGGGAAACGTGAGCTTAAATTTTAGTTCAGGTGTCCACAAATATGGAGTTTTTATTTAAAACTGACTGTATAGTTTGCCTTGATATTTATAACCAGCTGCCACATTAATACAAAAATATTTACAACTCTTTAGGCCTATAGTGATCAAGAAACATTGTATCATAACTACACCAGACCGTAAAGTGACCCTCTCAGCGTCTTTGATTTTAGATACAGCGAATCAGACCTCCCAAAACCATTGACTTAGTTTCACTACGCGAAGTATACATCCTAATTCGATTCTCTTTAGATACTCTAAGACAATAACATTGACAAGGGGTAAACAAAAGTCACCATTCAACAAAACAATCTGTTACAATTTAATTTGCTAAAAATAGAAACTACAACACAAAAGCCCACTGTTTCAGTCAGTGAGAGAGGTAATTAAAACATCGTTGATAAGAAAGGAAGAAGCGAGAGGCCGGAGGACGACGATGACCCTAGGCCTAATGAAATACAATTAGCAGCGGACGGCGCGGCGTGTGACGAGCTAATGTGTCCGTGCACTAAATAAATATCGTCATTAGGAAGGCGAACAATTAAATTCACAATTACAAGTTGCCGAGCGCGTGAAACATTACGGTGAGAACGGTACTTAGACCCTGAGTGACCGCAACTGGCCTGCGTGGATAGTGGCGAATCGCAATTGTATCAAGTAGTAGGCAAAAGTTGAGATTTACCTACAGTGTACAATTTTTGGCAAATTTCCCCTTTGGGGAAGAAGCTATCACGGTAGGTGTCCCAGGAAGACCTAGAACCGGAAACGATTTACTTTTTTCATTGTGATGTCTCTAGAGGTCAAAAACTTTTATCCGTGGGCACAACAAATCGAGCAATCTTGGTCCGATTTTGATTAAAATTGACATGAATTTGTAATTCTGAACAAACTAGATTGACTTCGCGAACCATCAACACTGTTTTAGTCGACGTCACCAATACCTAAGATCCAGTAGTTTCCTCAAAATCCCAGCGGTCCAAACACACCAACATGAATGGAGATCAGTTTTGTTTCGTTGAAGACGCGGTTGTAATCGGATTGCTGGAACAGCTTCTGGCTTACGATCACTTCCCAGCTTCAAAAACAACGGTGAAAAACAATAGAGCGACCGGACCGCATTCCCATCACAGATGACAGCCAAACGCCGGATGACTCCTTAATGCGGCGACTTAACGGATGAAATCCTCGCGGACGGCCGGTATTAACATGTCACCCGCCGGATTAGACCGGTAGCCGGTAAGAGCTTTTTTATCGATTCCTTAATCGCGGTCAATTTAAATAATAGCTTTGAACCCGGCGGTCCGGTCCGTGGGTTTTGCTTTTTTCGGTGTCAGGGGCACTTACCAAGTCAAACATGTCACCTCGTCGCCGCCCGCGGTGCTGACCGCTACAAGCTCGGCTGATAAGATTCCGACCACGGGCAGGTGTTCTGTGACAACATTCTTGTCCACATGGGCGACTTTTGTTACAAGATTATAAAATGTATTAGTATTAGTTAAGTCAACAAAAGATTGCTGGAACACATTCGTTGTTTTAGATATATTTGTTGACATTTTCCATCAAGATTACTCGAAAAACATGTTCATGACGTTTAAAGTTCTGGAATCCGGTCGCGTCTTCAGATGGGAAAGGATGCTGTAGAGTGGGAGTTCCTCAAATTATATAAATTTACCGTAACCAAACATGAACTTAAAAAAAATATAAATCAACAGTGTTGAGATGTTTTTTTAGTTGACAATATAGCAAAATAATTCGTATAATGTCAAAATGACATTGCCATCATATTTTACTTAAAGTTGGCAAACAATTACATGAACGCAGTTTCAACCAATCCAATTTTTAAAAGTAGACAATTACAATTTCTACTAATCAAGATCCTGATGCTTTATCCTGGATTTTTTAGAGTATATTTTGCTGTTTGCTCTTTACAATTTGTTTGCAATACTACAGTATACTTCACAAATATTTTGTTTTAATTGATTAAAAAAGCTGGTGACTGTAACAAGAAATAAACAGTCCTCACCAAACTCTACACACTGAATAAAAAGATAATTCTTTCTAGCTTTTCCACAAAAATGACAAATCTTTGAGAGACTATCTACACACACATCCTCAAACGCCACTACGTACTTCAAACGCACCGATCTTTAAACATCAATTACCGAGGTAATTAACACTCACAGACACCTAGATAATCAATTCCCGCAGCACATTTACGGCGACAGGTGGCAGCGAGTGCGATAAACGCGATCGCAAAGATATCGCGGGGACACATCGCGGAATGTGACAATCTAGATGTCGCCGGGTAACTCTAGCTGGTCGTACACTCGCCAGATGACGACCAGCATCCGTATCTTCATCTACATCTAGCGGCGACACTTGGCCGAACACGGCCTGGAACCTTTGACATGAAGGTTGATGTCAACGTGAGTGAATCTCACTATGTTTCATGATGGTATTCATGTGAATCAGCGGCATGACCACAATGTATATCACGTACATTCAAGCTTGGACTGGGGATGGTAGAAAAGTAGTACAAGAAGGAATGAGTGAAGTTTTTTTGTTAGGTGAAGAGTCATAGGAAAAACAAAGTGTTAAACACATTTTAGAGATGATTGACACAATGTTGAGTTCGTTGAGATTTGACACACTGTATATGATAGGAGGTTTTAAACGTATCAATGAGTAAGAGGAGAAGGAGAAGAGCGTAAAAAAGTTGTTCCTGAAGCTAAAATGCCAGGTTGCACGTTTAGAGCGATACTCTTATGATTCAGTTTTTTGGTAGTATAAATAATGTAAATTATAGTACCTATGTAACAGTTTTGTAGGATTGTATTTGGTGACAGTTAGTTTCGTGATGTTTCAGTCCAGGGAGCCGAAATCCCACCTGACCGAGGATGTTCTAGTGTTGAATCAGTGATATAGTGGTTTGTAGAGTAGGAAGTAGTAAGTGAGCATTGCAGTGGTATATAGGGATGTAAAATGGTTAGTATACTGGTATGAATAATGGTCGATTTGTATTTATTTATAGTGGTATGGAGAATGGTAGAGTGGTACAGTAGAGGTTCACCGACCCAAGTGCCACCGCCGCGTCAACCTGTAATTTGGCCTCGTGTTAATGAAATCCCCAGGAGAGGCTCGTTACAGGAACACTCCTTCTCCGTGTCACTGGCGAGGCCTCCAGCGACTCTGTAGTCAATGGTGTTGTCCGAGAGACCTCTAGTGATTCTGTAGTCAATGGTGTTGTCTGAGAGACCTCTAGTGACTCTGTAGTCAATGGTGTTGTGTGAGAGACCTCTAGTGACTCTGTAGTCAATGGTGTTGTGTGAGAGACCTCTAGTGACTCTGTAGTCAATGGTGTTGAGTGAAAGGCTGAAAGACCTCTACTGACTTTATAGTTGGTGTTTTAGCCGTCTCCAGCTACTGTGAAGCCAATTACAGTATGTGGCATCATGAAGGAAAAGTTATGCGATCTCAAAATATCCACACTTCAGTGTTAAAACACTTTTAGACAAACTAGATGCAACTGCGGAACTTTCCTAATCAAAATAGGGATTGAAGTTTTCTATCGTCAGAGTTTCATAGGAAATATGCCTCATATTGGAAACAAAGAAAATTTTTCAAGCGATAACGTCTACGTCTTAACGAAGGGATGAAATATTAGCCCGTGGATATCTTTGTTTCTTGTATATTTCTCTTAAAAGGCCACAATGAACAAATGAATTGGTAGGTTACATTCCTCTTCATCTATTCTATTGGATACAAACACTCTTCTCGTTTGAGGCTGTGTTTAGTCTCAGCGGCGTCACAGGTAGCGGAAGAAGTTCTGTTCTTTGATAGAACAACTCCAACAACGCAGTGGAGATGAAACGTCAAAGACACCTGCACTGTACACAGGCTATTCTGGACCGTGTCGTCACACCTTTATGGCGTTCCATAACCGTAAACACTGTAAACTCCCGCCAGATTTATGGTAAACTATGGTCAAAGTGGGATTTTTTGTTTGTGTTTGTGAACAAGTTGATCACTTCAGTAGTCAAAGATACTAGAGTAGTATTTTGTCCTGACAAGAATGAAAAATGGGTTCGTTTATGGTAATTTATTTCTATCTAAGTTGCAAAAGTTTTATTTTACGTTTATGTTTTTTATTGCAATCCCAAAACACGGTTAAAGATCGTAGAAAACTATACAAACTTGTATTGTTGGATACACATGCATGTTTTAAATTTGTGGTAAGTACCCTTAATGGACCCTAATTTTTTTCGTTTATATGAAGAGAATTACATGGCGAGTAGTTTTACAATATAGTTATCATACTGTTGTGTCTAAATATTTAAATTGGAAAAGTTTTTGATACGATGGTTCATAGAAATGGTTATGTTAACAATTTCAATAGAAAAATACCATAAAGTAGTAACACTAACAATTCAAAAATTTTCAAGTTCATCGAGTGTATATTTACACCTTTCATAGGAGTGCCACTATATAAGCTATTTATGATCAAACACAATTAAAGTTTTGGACCATGCCTTGGTTCTAATCAACCCAACCTATCCCACCCAACCTAAAATAACCTAAACCATAGACAAAAGAAATACCAAAAGAAATAATGGTCTATTGTCTGTGCCTAAACATAAAAAGGATTTCAGATATGTGTAATATTTCTAGCTGAAATAAAACATAGTGTTTTACAAGTGTAACGAAAATATTTTAAAATCTCAAAGTCGACGTACTGCAACTAGATTCCTAGTAATATAATAACCAATTCAGTACTCATAATGTAAATATAAAAATACTAAAAGATTCTAATAATGATAATAAGCTACATTGTTAAATTTAATAAAGTAGTCTGGAATATGAACTGTAGAAATACTGATAATATACTAATGTATAAAATATAACCTAACTTATCAAACATAACCTAAATAAAACCTAAAAAAGTATTGTATAAGAATTACCTCAAAAGACTTTCTTTTAGAATCAGTTTTTCCCCTCATTCCTGATATCCCCTCAACCAGATTCTGTTAGATGGCTTTTAGTCAAAGTAAGCTATTTCACAAACACAAAACATTTTGCACTAAATTTATCACTAGAATATGCACAGAACAATTACAGAACAATTCAACATAACAAGATTCAACGCGTCGTCACCGACTACTGGCAGACAGTATTGTTGCGTCATTTGATCAGCTGTTAACTCAACACAAATAAAAACAGATTCATCAATACGCTCGTTGGATTTTGTCTTTAAAACTATTTATCGACCAATATTTTGTATCTTGTAGTAGAAATTATTGTATTGTAGTCGACCTGCGCATAGCCTAGTCTTAGAACAAAAAGTATAAAATAATATTTTCTAAAAGAATTAATTTACTTATTGCTTAATTCTTTGATATGTAAACTAGCTTAATATTACAACTAGGGAGACTTAATTGGTTACATGTATCCTAAATCTATTGGTTTCGTAAACCTAATAATAACTTGATAAACTAACATTTACGCAAGTTTTCTTGTGATAAAACTTAATAGTATTCGATTGTTTTACAGTTACCAGATTAAATTTCAGCTTATATTGAAAAAAATAAAAATATACTGTATCAGCAATCTGACACATACTTTCACCCATTATTCTCAACAACTCTTATCGTGTGCAAGCTGTGGGAGTAACTAAGATATTTATGGGAAAATTCGCAAAAGTTGCAATAGTTTTTGATACTTTCAACTTTTACAGGGTATTCCTAAAAAAAGATTTTAATCGAAAATTCAAACTAAAAAATATTGACGAAAACAATACTTTCTCCATATACTGTAGAGAGGGGGAGAAATTAAACTGCCCTAAGAAAAAGACACGAGTTTATTTCAATAGGATAAACTTTACCATATAACTTTCTCATAACAAAAAATTTAAATTTTCAAGGACTAATAATTTTCAACGCTGATAAAGCTGTGGTTGGTGTCTTGTATTCTATGTAGATGGACTAGAGAAACTTAATTATCTATATAATTAATACGCTACACGAAAGTTTGTCGGTTGAACTCCTCCGCCAATTCTTAACCGATTTTATCCATTGACATCTCATTGGAAAGAGCGTGTCGCGTAGATTTGCAAACTAACCTTACATTTTTGAAAAAGTCCCTTGGGCTCTGCCCCAGTGGCTTTAAAAGTTCCCATGTTATCCTTATGAAGAACATAATTGTTTACATTTTGATCAGCTGTATAATTTTATTGCTGTTATTTACTTTTCAATTCAATGAAACACATTGAGTACATTTATTTACTATTTGAGTTTGTGTAAACATAACCCCCAAGACGGATCGTGTTAGTATGGTTGTATCTTAAATTTGTGTATTTATCGTTGTTTTGTGTCGCTATGATGGATTGTGTTAGCATGATTGTTACTTAAATTTGTGCATTTATCGTTGTTTTGTGTAGCTATAATTTGTTTATTATTTGTTGTTTTTTCTTTTAAATGTCTCCGACGCAACGACAGCGAAACATAGACAGGAGGCGCAATCGTGATAACGACCGCAACTACAGAACAGTGGCGCGTAATAGGCTTAACTCATCAGCTTAACAGTCTAAACATGAACCTGGACAACTTCAACTATTTGGTTACAAATGCGCCCTTACACTACCCCAAAACGACTTTTCGTTCTCAATTGGCCCTCTATTAATGACCTGTGTTGCCTGTACAGCGAGGCATTTTGAGAAGGAGAGAACCGTCCGGAATGCTTTAGGTTTATCAATAACGAAGATAAACAGGGTCTGAGTTACACAACGGTAATATTTGAGTTGACTCTTTTAAATTCATTGTAAATATGACTGTTATTCAATCTGAAATAACTCCTGTAATACTTTGTAATTGCTCGAATTCGAGCAACATGTACACTAGTTTTCATTAAACTCTTTCGAAACTTAAGCCCCCAACTTTATTCATACTTGTGAACTGGCAAATCTACTAGTATTTAATCCAAAAGTAGTGTACATATCCAAATCCAAACCCGATAACTCACACAAGACCAAGACAAACACCCATGTTGACCAATGTGTGGGGCGAGCGCAGTTGGAGCGCCCCGAGCGCCTTCTTTGACGTATTGACTCTTCTTGTTCTCAAAAGCGCATTTTTGGGTCTTGGCGGGGCTGTGTAAACACGCCTAATGGGCAATTTGCCCGCTCAAATAACCCTTGCTTTGGGCAATCGGATCTACGCAAACCTCAGTAATTGCCCGCTTTGTACCTCCTTCTGATTGAAATCTTGACCTTTGGTTTAAAAATGGTATGTGCAAGGATTATTTATTGATTTATGCGTATTTTCCTACTCCCCTCATCTGATGAATAGAGAAGAAATTAACGGGATCAGCAATCTGACATATACTTTCTCCCATAAGCTTGTCAACAACCTTTATCATGCGTGGGAGTAACTATGATATTTTGTAGGGAAAATCACAAAAGTTGCAATAACTTTTGAACAGTAATTGTTATAGTAATGGGGGTTGCATTATTTGGTTCAGAATTATAAGGACCATAACACACTACAGGTGTGGTCTGTAGCTCTGTACACATCCAAACACACAGACATCACTTCGAAAAACACTTTTTTGGGTTCAGGGGGACTCAAAATGGATACATCCACTCAAAATTCAAACTCGAAAATTTTGAAAACAATACTTTATCCATATACTATATATAGGGGGGGGGGGAGTAAAAATGTATAATTAAGAATTAAGAGAGTAACATTATTAGCACTTATTAAGTTAGCAAAATTCTCATATAAAAAAGAAATTCCATGAGCCAATATTCGAAGAGGGTTTTTAGCCCATTAAATTTATTTAAAATGTGTATTGCATTTGCATTACAAGAACTTTTCAACAAAACCATATTTTTTGTCAACTATTTGCAACGCTATACTTGAGATGAAGTAATATAATGTTATATCCCATGTTCAGTCTTTGGCCCATGTACCCTCAAAAGGTCCATAATATCCTTAAGATAGATATTATGGCTCTGATATGAAAAAAAATATTCTTGTATAATATTAACTTTTCATTTTATGTACCAATAAAATGTCCCCAGAACCGTATAAATTTCCCTAATCTGAATTTAAAACAATCATTACAAAACATAACAAAATAAAACCACGGTAGCAGTGTTTCTTAAAAACTGGTAATTTCTAACCCATAAAACACATGGAAACGTACCTGGGGCAGCTAGTACATTTTAAGACGGCTAAGCCTATATAGTAAAACACAAAATATCAAGCTCTGTGTCATAATTAGATTATAACCGACATGACAGTTTTAGGAGCAAATCTACCAAATCTAAAGGTATGTCAAGGTCAATTGTG